AAACGTGAAGAGTGCCCCTTGGGCTGGGGTGGCGCAGGCTTTTGTTGACATTGACTATGATGTGAGCATCGCATAGCTGGAATGCTTTGGTAACCTTTCAGATCACTAATCCGAAGCCATTCCTCAGGCCGCCTTCTGCAACACATTCGATACAAAGCATTATTACATCCCGCACACTCGCCAACGAGGCTATCTCATCGCCACACACAACAACAAGGACGATTACCCTGCAAATTGGGAAGCCCTCACCAAATCCATGAGCAGACCTGCCTCTTCCACCCTGGAGTCCTTTCTGCTACCCACCGACGATCCGCGCATTCAGCACGTCAGACTTCAATTTGCTTTAGGAGAGGGCTATGGAAAGGTACGTGATGTGGATTCTCTCATTGAGTATAGGCAAGGCTGACGTCAGCCGCACCATTGTGTTCAGGGTCGGTCGACGATCGATTGGTCGCGTTGTCAGGGCCGACACGAGCGTGCTCGAGACGAGGAGGCTCTCGGCAAATCGCGCCCATTCACGGCGTGGGAAGAAGGCGGTGGCTGCAAGCTTTCGCACGATGCGTGGAATGAGTGGGCACTACCAATGCCTGAACGTGTATTGGATCTTCTCGACATCACGACCTTGCGCTGCGCTAAAGAAGGATTTGACCCGAACTTCAAAAGTCGAGTTTGGGAGCTGAGTCAGAATGTGGATCGCAACATTGCTAGCTCGAAGCCCGGGACCGTAGGCTGCCTGACGCCTTCGGGCATGCCGTACCTCACTTCTCGAGGTGGGCCGCTGGTTGGTATCGAAGCACTTGCTCTTCAAGGACTTCCGATCGACGAGCTGCTTCTATCCAGAGAAACCAATGACCAGCTGCAGAATTTGGCGGGAAACGCCATGAGCTCGACCGTCGTCGGCACGTGCGTCATGGCTGCACTGCTGATTGCGCAGCCAGATCTCGCAGCCCGTCGCCAAGGCAAAGATGTGTCGATGGAGATTGAGAAGAAGATACAAGAGGTGCAGGAGAAGCCAGACTCTGTCCTTGGGCAACTTGTCCGCCAGCCATATGACCTCGACGACCACGCTCAGGATCTCGACCTTGGTCATTTGCTGAAGCATGCTGTCGAAAGCGCGCAGCGATGCAGCTGCGAAGGTAGAACAGGCGTGTCAGATAAGAAGATTTTCAAGTGCTCGGCCTGCGAGCACACAGCCTGCGCCACCTGCAAAGGTCGCCCGGAGCACCTCTTCGAGCTTGACGAACGCAGTCGTCAGCGCCCAGAAGCATTTGAAGCGCAGCTGAAGAAGTATCTACCCATGCGCTTAAGACTCCAGCTTGGCGATGCCGCCATCTCGTCCAGGGGCTTGCAAAGTGAGTATGGACTCCTATGCTAGCATCTGCTGTATATTGACATTATTTCGCCCGGCTCGTAGCTGTCGACACCTTTGCCCAGTGGCGCACTCACGTCAACAAAGTGTGCCAAGACGTCGTGCTGCACTTCAATGGCCTACTTCGGCAACGAAAGTGGACGGCAGTCTTTCTCGGCAACCAGACGCGTTTAGAACTCATTTTGGATCCGCAAACGCCCCACTGGGATCTTTACGTGGAACCCAATGCTGAGGAAGCTTCACGCGGTGCCTTGCGCGCCCTGTTGCTCCGGCCAGTCGCACGCATGGAGCTCCAACGAGGTGCTCGCGATTTATTGACTGGCTGCTGGCAGCTCAATCTACCCGT